GAGAGAGAGAGAGAGAGAGAGAGAGAGAGAGAGAGAGTGAGAGAGAGAGTGAGAGAGAGAGCAATGTTTGTCGTAAATAGCGACGTTTAAGCAGAAAAAAATGCAACAAGGAAAGGACCTAAGACAGCACGACGCGACGCACGACGTTGTGTACTAACAAAATGGCAAGAAGGCGACGGTGCGACGCGACGGTACGACGCAAAGGAGCCGTTGTGCCGTCGCGTCGTGTAGTTGCCTCACCCTGTAAAAGGTTAATAGAGAGAGGCAGAAATATGTGTTACTAATAGTTGACCATAATTTGGGAGATAAAATTCCTTATACAGCTAAGGCTGTAACGCCATTTAAAAACAAAAAATGGTGAATCTCCCTGGACAAAACATCATTAATAATAAACCATTACAGCTCCTTTCAAGGAGCCCACAATTTTGTTAACTAAAACTGCCTCAGTGATTCGTAGTTTACATTTCTACATTCTACAGTGGTTATGGATTATACAGGATCTAAACTTAAAAGTATTAACATAAAGCTTTCATATGTCGGTAAACGAGTTCACTCACCGTGAAGACATCGAAAAATTACACTTTCCTGACAGTAGTATAATACATTGTATGCATCTCAAAAATGCGGTTTTATGACTCTACAAAAGCATAGCGAAAAGAATTTTTCTGTACCTTTTTCTGCCCATCGGTTGGGTGCTTCACAGTTTTACAAAGCAAAATTACTGTTGATCTACATGTACAGCTGTATAATACAGCAACAGGTAACTTGGCTGTTTCCAAATTTCAATGAGAAAATTGCGTGTAACCCCCTTACCGATACCTCTCAGTGGCGCAAATTTGTGCCGGAAAGGGGGGTGGCATTGTAGGGGAAGACTTCCCGGCCATAGAAATATGAAAAGTGCGGGTGGGGGTGGGGGTGACACCATGTGTCACTACATAGGGGCTATGATACAGATGCATATCTGTAATATGTATTACATTCATGCAAAATCCTTCGTCACAACGGTATGTTTATGACTTATAAAAATTGTTCGCCTTTTGAGTGCTGTCGAATACATGTTACTTGTTGGGAAGTTTGAAAAATTATTCGCAATCCACTTGAACCTGTTTTTTTTTTTTGGTATAGCCACCCCTCGGTCCAAAAGTGGGGATACATATCCTCTATCCCCCGGGATTCACGCTCACGCAACCCTGCGTAACGCATGGACTCTTTTGAAATTCTCATCTTTGTCCCTCCCTGTCCATTGCTTTTCAAAGTTAGCTCGGCTTCCTTGTCAATTTATTCCTGGTATCAGAAATGAAAACCCTTCATTTCCACCATCACTCTTTCCAAGCGATTTTCAAATGTCCATACTTTGCCATGTAGCCTCTTCCCTGGTGGTAGAAATCGATACTTCAGGGAGAGAGAATTCGTGGTCCTGTGAGGCCCACCTTTGCTGATAAGAACAGTCTCGTACACACCTTCTGTAATTATGCACTCATTCACATAAATTGCCATGGCTTCAAAAAAGCGTGAGCAGCCCTTGTAACCTACTGGCCTTCAAACTTCAATGTCATCTTGTAGTGAGGAATGTTTTCACCTTTCTCTTCAGAAAACCCCTTTAAAATCGTCTAGCGCTGGTTTCTGAGTGCTTTAAAACGTGCGTTCGTCCGGAGTGCAGGGCTCCTTTTCAGTCTGTACGAGCTCAAAACAGTTTGCAATTCAGGGTCTTAATGATGCATAGTCGTTTTGTTGCTTTTAACTGTGTATTCTACACTTAACATTCTGGACAAGTCACCTGCAGATGGGTAAAAACTTTATCGTTCTTGTTCATGTTTATCTTGTTCATGCACGTTTTCTCTGACTTCACGTGCACATGTGTGAACGAGAATTAACAACGTTACGAAGATATGCCTACCATGGTTTCCGTCCAGAGTTGTAGATTCGATTCACTTGACTTGGACTCGAGTCGAACTCGAGTCGCCACTTTTGTGACTTGGGACTTGACTTGTAACTAGCAGTTTTGGACTTATGACTTGACTTACACTTGCAAAAAATGACGTATGATTTGACTTCGACTTACACATTATGACTCGTTACCAACGCAAGTCAGACAACTACTTCATAGAACCCATTAAAGTTTGAAATTAGGCTAATCAAATTGACTTGTGACTTGAATTGACCTGTGATCAAATGACTTGTGACCTGACTTGTAACTGAACTAAATGACTTGTGACTGAGCTTAGACTTGCAAAAAATGACTTTAGATTTGACTTGGACTTGCAAAATTTAACTTACTATACTACCTCTGATTCAGTCGAGCTGGCATGACGCAGTTCTTGCCAGCAAAGGTTAGAATAGACTTTAGAATCTTTCAAAAGCATCTTATTCCTTAAAAAAAATTGCTAAACATATTTTATTCAGGCTATATTTCAGCTAATACAATTAGACACTTTAGAATATAATTTCGTAACATTTTACCTGCGAACTTTAACACCAAATTTTCTAGGTTATTATATATTTTAGATTTTTCAGAAATGAGAAGTCATTTTTTTGGCATAACATTTCCCTTTCGGATCAAGTAGTTTTACAAATTAATATTCCAATGAATATTTAATCAAGGCCTTATTTGGAGGTGATATTTTATTTGTAGTACTGCACCGATTAAGCCCGGGAGTTACCAGTGATTGTGAGTCAGAAGACAAAATGGAGCTTCTTGCACGTCAAAGAGCTACATTCATTTACTATGAAGCCGTTCAAAATGTTTGTTTCTAATGAATGACTCATGCAAGAAGAACTGAATTGGGACATTTATGAAAGGACGCAGGGATAGAGGGTTCGGTTGATTTCCACTGTAATGGCTACCAGGCACCTCCATCCGTCCCAGTGAGATTTGCTGGTGAGGCACGCCAATCAAATAAGTCAAATTTGTCGAAAGTAAACGATGGGGAAATCTTTTAAACTTGTAGCTGTCTTAGACAGTGTCTTGAATAGCCAATCTCTCTAAATTAAACTTTCTGAGATGAGAATTAAACTTTCTGAGATGTTTACCACTGCAGTGGATTAGGAGGATTGAATCTTGGACTGTGCTCTGTGTAGAATTGAGAGAACCATTTGCGATGTGCTGCGATAGGGCTGTCCTCCTTAATGAACACCGGCCTGGCTTGGTATCTCTTATTGGCCCAGATGACGAAGTCAGCTTGTAGCTACCAGAGAACAAAATACGTGGCAGGTTAATTACAATTTTTGCAAGTCCTTACGACGATCTGTTTTTCGGAGACAGTATTTGACGTAAAGTCATTAAAGTAATAACGGACTTTGTATTTTAAGTAGAAAAATCAGAAGTTCCCAATCTCAAACTCACACACATCGCTGAATTTTTTGCACACTCATCACATTTAGTGCGCAAAGTTAAATGCTGTATGTATGTAGTTGAAAAGATCTTGCTTCTTAAGTGGATCAAAGATGCTTCAAAAGAAACATTTTATGCGCCTATCCAGTATGCGATGGGGGTAAAAAATTATACAAAAAATTTGTTGACAGAACAACCGACGATGGAGGGCTTAATCACCAAACTATACTTGTTGCACCTTTGAACTGAAAACGTTACCGTTAGGCTAAGTGATGGCTATACATACAGTTTTGTTCATTTCGTGTAACTTTTATAAATCGTTGTGAGATATGAATTTACGCATTTTGGTTACTTAAAACTCATCCGTCAAAGTTCATTCTGAATAAGAAAAACACTTTTTCTTATATATTGAGTTTTTGTGTGTTCATCACCAAGCAACTTTTAACTCAAGATTTTTAATGATCGACCCTCCAAAGCCAAAAAATGAGAAATATATAATCATAAAGGGAACCTTAATAGTGATTACAGGCTACACGACGTACTTACCACAAGAAAATTAAAATACAATCGCAACTTGTTCACGAGTGCATTTTTTATTCCGCTGGTATATGGGCTGTATAGCGTGTATGACATTTTCTGCCTCATTGGCCCAACAGGTGTGACGGCAATAACTAAGATTTCCTTGGCGAAATTGACGAACGTCAACCCTGGCCCGTGCTAAATAAAGAAAAAATGTACTTAAGATGTAGACACTCCACATAATGCACTTATCGCCCATTTCTCGAATAATGCAGACAAAGACTAACCCCCCCCACACTTAAACACGTTGTCAACTTGAGAATAGGTAGATCGTGGCCAATCGTGCTTAGATTTTGTACATTGTGTGAACTGATAGCAACTTGGTAGGGTCTTAATAGACGGGCAGGTCGTGCCAAAATTTTGAGCACGCTAAAAATTTACGAAGCGGAATACAGGCAGTTTTGGAGTGCCAGCATCGTAGTTGGATCTTTATAGACGTGGTACATTCGCAGCTCGATTGGGAAGAATTTTTATGTCGCTACCATCGGAGCACTGTTTCAGCCAATATGTATAGGAAATTCTCGGAAACGGCTGCGAGCCACAAAAGCACCACACAAGTTATACAACGTATTACCATCGCACCGTGATCGTTCTGGTCGTAGCACTGTTGTATGGAAGTCTTTAACATCGTGGAATGATCCGATTGCAAGGCTTAGCAGAGTCGGGACTCACGCTCAGTTTAACTGTGCCGAGAACGTAAAGCTAGCTTCCTACACGTGCGGGCAACGCGGGAACCACTGTGTGCAATCTTGAAACAACAATAGACCTACAACATAATGACGTAATGCAATGTTTACCGCGGTGCATTGTGGGCGAGAGGTGGGGATGTTGCAGGAACGCGTCGACGTGACACGTTATGTGTAACTTATACTATATGGCGTGTGTATAGACCTGTCACGAAGAAAATAAAAAAATAAAAATAGTCTATATGAAAATAAATAAATGACCTTATTTCTCACGGAAATCTGTCTCCTTTTGCAGTCCCTTGGAAGTTAAAAAAAACGCAGCTCTGGCGTTCGTTGAGTGCTTGATAAAGACAATGGAACACAGCAGTTCACATTGACCATTTCGGACGGTAATCGGGAATTTTTTTATTTTTTCTTTTTTTTTCGTGTCAGGTCGATACACACGCCATATAGTATACGTTACACATAACGTGTCACGTCGACGCACTCCTGCAACATCCCCACCTTTCACCCACAATGCACCGTTGTAAACACTGCATTACGTCATTATGTTGTAGATCTATTTGTCTAGTCTTGGCCACGTTTTAATAACATTCTACAACGTCGTCGCAGAATATGATGGGGGTATTAGGCAGATCCAGTGCTGTCCCTCATATATGCATACCCTGGGAGGTGAAGCTTTTGCCCCGCTTTTCTCAAATATGAAGCTAAATGAGATGGCCTTAACAAGCTTTGGGGTTATAGGGGAATGCATTAGTCCCCGTCATCATTATCGTGTAAAATCAGGGAAAAAATGAGGAGGCCCGGCATCTTGACCCACTTTTCCCGCTAACCGCCTAAATAAACCAAATAACAAAGAGACAAGTGATCACTGATTACACACGGTATTCGCTGTAACAACGCCGACTGTACTTGACCTTACCTGTTCCTGGTAGCTCTCCCTTTTTACTGCCTTGCAGGGACTGATATACCTCCAGAAAGCACGCTTGGTTCGCGTGTCGGTGAAGGCGACCCTATTGCAGCCGACGTGTTTCTTCGTTGAGTGCACGTAAAACGTGCCCTCGTAGTGCTTGTCGTATATTTGTCTGAAATAATAATAATAATATTTATTTGGGGGCATTGAACATGCAACAAGCGGGCCGCCCAGGAGAACATAAAAGCTTAAAAATAAACTGTAGCTAAAAGGCGTAGGATGTCTCCCAAGACCAAAATAGAAAGGTCAGGCAAGAAAGAGCGTAACAAAAAAATAATCATTATTAAGATAAAAATATGACAATGGGTTAAAAAAGAGCCTAGCCAGCAAAGTGGTCCTTCAGCTCACTCAAAAACGTACGGAGAGGGGCGCATATCCGATTATTAGCCAAGTCACTAGGCAAGGTGCTCCAAATACGTGCGAAATGGCAAGGGGTGTAGGATTTACGTCAGTGTGGGCAGGCAAATGATAAAAGACAAGCTTAGTAGCCACGTGTCTAATATTAACAAGTAACAAATTTAAAAAGGACATGCCAACACGATTAGTAGAAAGCAGCTCCTTGCATACAAATGCCAGAAATAAGTAATTCCTGTCCTAGCAAGTCTATTACTTAAAGGTTGTTCTTTCCTCATCTAGTGAAGAATGAACCTTTTCCAGTTGTGTTTCGTGTTTAACACGGTAAACATGCCCAATACGAGGACAGTAATCTAGAGTGGGTAGCACAATAGATATATACAATGTAAGCAGCGTATTTGAACTTCAATCACCCACAACGAATAAAACCCAATGTTTTATATGCTTTAGCTGTCACCAAATTAACATGTGTGTCCCAAGACAATTTATTCTGCATGTAAACACCAAGTAGTTTACGCTCGGTAACTTCAAGAATCTGAGTGCTATAAAAAGGTATGTAGGCTGATATGGGCGACGACGCATTCTAGTAAGAGATAAAAACTTAAACTTAACAGGATTCAATGAGAGTAAATTTCTGTTTGACCAGGAACTTATTTCATCAAGATCTGTCTGGAGAGACATCAAATCGTTTTCCCCTTGAATCTGCCTGTGTAAAAAAAGTGTCATCTGCATAGTGCCTAGGGGGATTTCACAGACTGATGTAAATGTAAGTCATTTATATAAATGTTGAAAAGTAGAGGCCCTAAGACGGACCCCGTGGAACTCCAGATGTAACATTAGACCAGGCAGATTCAGCACCATGGAAAACAACTCTGCTTCCTCCCAACAAGGAAAGAATTAATCCAACTGAGTAAGGGATCACAAATCCCGTACGTATTCTTGAGTTTGTTACAGTCAAAAGCTTTGCTATCATCCAGAGATATAACATGCACACAGGATTTGGCTTGATCCAGTATGTTAGACCACTCCGTTATTGTGTCAGTAAGAAGTGTTGCACAAAAAGGGCCTGGCCTAAAAGCATGGTGGAGCTCATATATTAATCCATTCACCTCTAATTGAGAACGAATACTGTCAGATACAATACTTTCAATCAATATCGAAAACACCGAAGTAAGGGTAATTGGGGGATAATTGCCAAAAACGTTTTCCGTTGTTAAGATTCGGCGAATGGTTGATATGCTTAGCTTTGGCTGACTTGATCTTATTTTTTCAGATTGTTCCGGATAAGACGATATTTTTCCAACAAGCCGTCACAAAGTAGATCATTCGTACATGTTCTGGCTCGGTGATAACGCTTCCGTTTAAGCGTTAAAATGTCGTTCATCATCCAATGTTTCCGTCGTTTACGCTGATTTCTGCAGGGTATGCTCTCATGAATACAGGCAGAGAAGAGGTCCAGGAGACAATCCCAAGTGTCATCAACACTGTAAACTGTGTCCCATGGGGAACGTCTCACAAGCTCACGTAGATAACCAGTGTCACACTTGGAATAAAGATAGTGACGATTCGTTATTCTAGACGTGACACTCGGTGTTCCACGTATACAGAAACTTATCATGGAATTATCGGATGGGGAAAAGTCATCATGGACAGAAATGTTTGTTCATTTTTGAGGATGTGTCGTAAAAACTAAATCCTATAACAAGACCCGATTACTGGGCGTATTGTGTGTAGGATCAGTAATGAGCTGATGCAGGACATGGGCCAAGGTAAACTTTGCAGCTGGGACAAAAATGTGCGAGCTTCCATTCAGTTCACATTAAATTCTCCCATGATGGCAAAATTAGCATTCTGGCTTACATCCATGGCAAACAAGGCATTCTCGAGACTATCCAATGATGCTGCATCATTTGGCGGCCGATAATATGAGCCACACAACCATCGCTCGCCTTTGATGACGCAAGTCGCAAAGACACATTCCAACATGTCCACACTAGGGTGGTTAATAGGACTAGGTTGAACATCCGGTGAAATGCCCAAAAGGACCCTACCACCTCTAGAATTGCGATCCCTTCGAAATATGGTGTGTTTGTCGCTAATGACGCCATCAGGGAAAGACGAATCCAGCCATTTCTCACTTATGGCGATAACATGAATATCAGTTGTTGCAATTTGTCATTATTTTGTAATACATGTATTTTGAAAAAAATATTGTCCCTGAAGGCAGTGTGTGTTGGTTGTAAGTGGCCTTTCGTCACTCCTGGGCCAGATTAACTGTTCGGTTGGCCAACGGCATCAGTGTTCCCCGGGTAGTGCTGCGTATTATCACAAGCAAATAGTCCATAGATCAGCATTATAAGATGTTCTTTGAACTCTGAGTATACAGTGTTATAAATATACATCGGTGTAAGAGCAAAACCTGTTATGAAAAATCAACATCCCAGACGCATAGTACATCCCGTAATAGGGTGCAGTTCCCGCTGCTACATCTGACACGGACGGGTCAACCGACCCCGGCAAGCTCGGAAAACAGAAGGTTGTGGGTTCAAGCTCCACCCGACTAAGCTTTTGAAGTTTTTGCAAGCTCTCTTGAGCAATTGAACACTGAGTAAACAACAGGGTTATATAATATACGTTGTGTAGGAGCAAAACCCGTTTTGAAATATCTGTAAGTATCATGCATTTGCATTTCACATTGATGTTAAGCTGCACATGTTTACGCTAGTCGGAAGTTGATTCGAATAGAAAAGTACTTTTTGAAATCTTCGTGGCTCCACAAATTTTTAGCAGCCCCCTTCATATTTTTTAGTCCCTTGTCTTGGATAATCCGGTCGTGGGACACACATGAGAGGAAAGAAGGGCAAAGCATGATGCAGGGACTATGGAATGAGAGGGAGGAGAGATGAGTTTCTCGAAACTGTATGCAGCTGAAATAAAATTACTAGAAAAATAAAAGGTACGTGGGAAAAGACAAAACAAGAAAAAATGAAAAAAGTGTCTACCTTGGAATGACGTAACAGTTTTGTTTATGAATATAAAAATTGCATAAAAACAAAAAGGGTATCAAAAATTTCTTTTGAAATAGCACAAAAATGAAAATAAGGTTAAAGAGGTATTTTCAAGGGTTGTAGTTAACCAAATTACATTGTTGGGACCCTTAAACCATAAACTACAAGGAGGAGCCGAATATTTATCTAAATCTACATTACAGATATGAAAAATTGTTGAGCAATGCCCAAGTGACAAAATAAATTTCTACTTCTACGGAAAGGATACTTTAGTAAACTGACGGGCCATGGACGACATTCAAGTGTGGGATGTCTCCAGCATTCTCACTCACATCCTGTGAAAAAAAAATGGCACAGGCAAACCATGTCTTCATGCAGTTCTAAAATGGAGGAAGGAGTGGGCAGTTACAGCAGATTTGCATACGAGACAAGTGCAAGGCATGGGAAAAGTGGTCAGTGTCAAATGGTCACAACTATTATGTCGCATTCTGACATTTCCTCGAATCAAACATTAAAAGAGGGTTGTGCTGTACAGGGATAATTGCTGAAGTTTAAAAGTGAAAGTAAAACAGACCCCCCTCTTGATTTCCCATTTTTTGCAATTATCTGGGGATAGCTTTGCTGGAGTAATTGAAATAAAACAAAAAAGCCCAAAACACACAAAAAGTAAGTAAGTAATTGTTCAGAAATGTCGACACTTCACCTATTACTGACATTCATTGGCATCTTCAGCGTTTTTATGACACAAAAATTGAATACATGTACATTTATAAAACATCTTTTTCCTGATCTTATCTAAAGTTTCTCCGCGTATTTCCTTTGGCATATGTAACACAACCGATAAACTGTATCGATAAACTGAGACAACAGCCAAAACATTGTGTAGATAAACATCGCACACGTGCTACTCATCATAGACCTCTCTTACACGTTTACCAAAAAAAAAAAAGCGGCTACAGTTAGAAATTTCATTCTATGTTGGTGGCAAGTTTTGACATAAAATCTACACTTGCCTCTTTACGTAGTGGTGTAAATACGGGTGGGGGCACGCCCCTCCCCCCTTGAATATATGTGAATACTCTCCATTCAGCTATGCAGTTGCAGCTTATTTTGTTGTGGTGCCCCCTTAAAAAATGTCCGCATCCCCAGGTGCCCCCTGGACATTTAGTCCTAGTTATACGCCACTGCCGGTAAATGGGGCAATGATATCTATTTGTATTCTTTGGTGCTTTGACAGCTGCCCAGCATGGGGTTCTTCTATCATTTTGTGAATAACACATTTTCTACTTTTGAACTCACGGCCAGCCGTATGTTTACCGGCGAACCGAAGGCATTATATGCAAAGGCGGGCACATGGCATTGTGTGCCGGATCTGCTTTTACACTGTGTTATAATATTTACATCAGATGTTGGCAAGCAGCTCGTCAGTCTGCTTATGGTCTAAGCGAACTGCGCGCCCTGGTTACAATCGGCTGTTTACCTCGACATGGCATTCGACGTAAGCTTCGAAGAATCCCACTTTGCCCAGGCCGCTGGCCTGAAGTTGCATATCCATGGGCGGATACCACGAAGGCTCTTCATTCTCGGCGTGGTACCATACACAAATCAAGCCCACTATCTCCATCGACTGGTACGTGTCCACGTTCACAAAGTCAGGCACTAATGAAATGAAACCAACAACAGCTGGATTTCAGGATGGCAACAAATTTGCATGCTGAACTAAAAATAGCCCGGTTTCCAGCGAATTTAGCTGGGAAAGGAGCCCATTCTCTTCAGGGATCAGAGTATCGACTCTGTGGTAAGTATAGTGTTCTATAGCCGCCAAAATTGCGTCGCGTCGTTCCGTCGCCCCAACACCACGACGCGACGCTACGGCAGCTCCGTGGCATCGTCCCGTCGCATCTTTTCTCATTACTTTTTTGCTGTGTTTAATACATTGTGTGGTGCCGTCGTGGCGTCGCGTCGTGCTGTCGCGCGGTGCTTTTTCTTGATGATGTCGCGTCGTACCGTCCCGTCTTGCCGTCGTGATGACGCGTCGTACCGTCGTAGCGTCGCGTCGCCTGTCATTGTATGGTTTTTATGCCGTGTGGGCTAGGCCACGTCCTGATGTCTTCCGTCGCGTCATGTCGTCGCACCGTCGTGTCGTGCTGTCGCGTCGTGTTGTCGTCCGCCGTATCGTGCCGTCTTGCCTGACTGTTTCTAAAAACGGCTGGTGATTACTAAGGCCAATAGAGGGCGTATGTCACAAGTCATGGAAAAAATAATGTGCGTGCATGGGGTTACGCTCATTGATCTCCTTTATTAAGACTGGATAGGATATCGCGTCCAAAACGCGTCCAGCGTGAGCATATTTTCAGGAGGGTAAATAACGAGCGTTGCGAATTTTGTGGCGTGCACTTTCACACGGAGATGTCAAAACTGCTGGTTGAGGTTATTGTACTTCAATTGTTAGATTACGAAGAAAAATAATGGAATTCTGCCGCCGGAATGGATAAATTTGGAAAGAGTAATGGTTGAGGTGTACGCAGCAGAGAATTGCCAGAGATTGTTGGTATAATCAATTTTTGGAAGAAGGAGCAGCTTTTGATATGTGAGTTGCACATTCAGAAGCTTTCTGCACGCCTTGTGCTATAATGCTTAGGACCGTCTGAAATATTATTTATCGGTAAAAGTGGTTTTAAAAACTGAATGATTAATCTGTCGTTTATTTTCCCTAGATGTCTCTGGAAAAATCCCGAAGAAAGCCATGATTTGTGTATGTGAGATCTGCAGATGCATTGAACCCAAATCGTGTGACATACGATGTGACGGAATTCATCTTCAGGGCAGAGATGAAATTAGAGCGAGAGACAGAGAGCTGACGTTTTCGTCGAGTAGAGTAATAAACAAGGAAATTAAATCAACGCAATGAAAGAAACTTTGTCTGAATTATAAAATGATTCGTTCTCGGTTAACACTGACTCTTTTCTTTTCAGAAAGTTGTTGTTAAATGTAAATCTTTAGTTTGGAACTCAATTTTTTTATTTGATTTATAACTGCTGTGCTGAAAGTGGCACAAACAATTAGTTTGGCTCGCAGTCAAAGCTCTGCTCATTTTGGGCTCTTAGAAAAGATTCTCACACTTATCAGGTTTTCAATAAATGTATTCAGTGTATGAATGAATTTCAGTACAGTGCTTCCCGTGATTCTTTAAAATTAAAATTATCGATTTTTTCATTTACTTGAAGAAGTTTTTCAGTGTGGACTCGTTGACACCAGACGGAAAAACACTTGGGCAGTTTGGATATAATAATGTAAAACCTATTGTGGGTCTTAGAGGAACTTTAATGTTTACACACTCAACAAATCACGATTGAACGGACCCAAAGTGACAAAATGGCTCAAACAAGACCGTAGACAAGAGGTGTGAAAAATGAAGAAAAAACAAAACAAAACAAAACAAACACAACAAAAAGAAAAAAAACGGGTTAGTTATTATAAGTTTCGAGTGCGTTACTTAATGAGAAAATGGTCTGTTAACTCGAGAAATGATATTCTTACATTAGAAACATTTTCTCCATAATCAATTTTGACTAAACACGCACTATACAGCACCACATTAATAACCTCCTGAAACGCAGCGCGCCACCATTGTACGGCCGTACATTTTGTACACGCACAATGGGCGATGATCTATTCAGTCTTTATAATGGAGATCAATGGTTGCGCTACACCAAAGACGCGCACATAGAAACCAGTGCAAAATCAGACCGAAATAGCGCCGCGTTTTTTTCACTGGAAATTCAAGACTATGGCCAAAAGATCGTTTCAATTTTATGGGGCTTAGCCATGTGAGTTTTTTTATTCACCTTTCCCCGAAGATACCCCCCCCCCAAAGAGTAGTAAAACTAAGCACTCCTGCCTCTATCCAAAATAGGTCCGCAATTTGGGGCTTTTTTGTGAAAGAAACACCCCGAAGTGGAAACGATCAGTTCCAAATTTGGGATTTATAGAAATGTTTCTATGATCCCTCCTGATTATGGCATGTCTTATTGTAAAAGCCCCGTGGGATCGTAAAATATTAATGAGCTCTCGACTAAGAATCCAACGATTTGGTGGAATGCACCCATAGGGCCTACAAAATTTGATCATGAAAAATGAAAATTGAACTTAACTCTGCCCCATATTTCTTCCAAAATATTAAAGAGTGGCTCTTCCAATTTCGGCAGATTTTATATAATGACGTCCGTCATGAGTTGGTACGGGCCACACAACGACGCTTGCGTTGTGTTTTCCTTCTACGCCATCACGTTTTCCCAACAAAAGTGGTTAACAGACGATTTGCGTGGTGGCCATGTTACAGGGCAGTTCTTTTGTTCTACAGTAAAGCCTTCTTTGTACATTACCCTGTGTAACAAAAGTAATGGCATACAAACCCTCTACATGTGGCTGCTGATTTGTCAAAGTTTGGGGGAAAAGAGGAGGTTCGCATGTATCCGTGGTTGCCGAACATGCTTATATATCACATACGCGTAACTGCATAGCAAGTGTCCATGCTGAAGTCTATTCGGCATTGTGGGCTCCACTTGTCGGCACCACGTTAGCCTTATAAGGGCAAACAGATATAATTGGCATGGTTGCATCTGAGCATCGTTGGTGCTGGACTTGGTACCAATAGACAGTCGAACACGTTTAATTCCTTTTTGGTATGTACTCATACACATCGATGCTGGAAAAAGAATGAATAGTTCAGTGATTAAATGTAGGACAGCAGTCAGCATCCGCATGCAACTAAAATGTGGGAAACTTAAGGATGCGTGTCATTTCTTCCCGGATAATGCCATTGAAAACGCCCTACCTTTATCTGCGTAGGCAATCTTGACGCATTTGCCGTCATCCCCCCGGTAGGTCCAACCATGGAAAGGACACTCGATACACTCTCCCGCCACCTTCCCGCCAACTGCTAGGTTGGCGCCAAGGTGTGGGCAGTATGCATCTACCACGTATACCCGACCACTCTCCCCTCGAAACACAGCGAGATGTAAGCCTGCCGGTAAATGTACAAAAGTATAGTTGCTTATTTTTTGACACATACTGCCAGAAGACAATCTTATCACATTGAAAACAGTCGATGTTTTGGGTCCTGGTCAAGACGATAAATACGAGCCCTTAACTGTTCATACTAACAAAAATGAAAATGAATACACAACTAAAAAAAAAAATTGGACGATCAGACATTTGTCTTTGAAAAGTTCAGGTGTGTACCTCACTGAATTTAGTTTTTGTATGCTGTACGCTGAAGCGTTCATGCAGCATGGAATGAAAGATAATCTGTCATGTGTTTCCGAGTACTATTGACTGGAGGGGTCAAAAGCATTTGGTGAGTATATTGCTCAGGTACTGCACAATTTCAAAATGACCTTCTTATATCAATCTCTTCGCACGTTAATTCTGGTGGAAATAATTTGTAGTGCTGTTCGAAGACAGTTGACTGATGTTGAAGTTGCCAAAGCTTTTCAAATGATATAGGATGCAATAACAGAAGGTGTCTCAGAGTGTCATTTGTTAGGGTGCATAATGGTACAGAAAGGCTGGCCAGTACCAGAGGAGATCTGTGCAACGTGCTAACCAAAGTGTCCTTTCGGTTTCATGGAACTTCAGTACTCTGTAGTGTAAGTGTGCTTAGGACAGGAATCAAAGTACTTCTTGTTTCTGCCTGAACATAAGCAAATAAGATGACACTCATATTGCATATTTGGTATGATGTAAATACTATTTTTGAAAAAAATAATCAGTGAGTGTAGTTGAGCTGTTCACTGCAGACATATCGATTCGAATCAACAATTCGACCTCCACTAGCTCGGTGGTCGAGTGGTAAGACGTTTGTGCTGCTAAGCTGAATGTTATTGGTTAGAATATATACCTATCGGGGTGTGCGCGCTTTTACAAGCCCTTTGAAATCGCTAAAAATGTGTCTCTTTGACAAGTGAATTCTTGTCTTTACAGACACACGGGCAAAACAATACTTTATCATCAACTTTATCAACTTTATCGCTGAATAATTTGCAAAAAAAGTGAATCACCTAGTGCATGCACGTATTTCGTTTCCATTTTCTTGACTTCATCAGACCTCAGTACAGCAAACCAGCCATTTGGGTAGACGGGCGGAATGTCACCTATCTTCCGTGATCGTTTCAGCTCCGTTATGGCGGTTTCCCTCGTCATACCACCGGGCGCCTTCCGGATGAGGTACGAATCTCGCCCTTCATTTCCATAGAAACAGAATTGGCCGAAAATGGCACTGTGGACCACACCCGCCAGGTACATCAAACCGGACAGTAGGCCAAATTTCGCAAGGACAGGCAGCGTGAGAATCTTGGTCCATTGATGATCAGATGGAAAAACTCCGGAAGTAGACATAAGAGCCGTCAAAACGGCAGCAATCACCAGTAAACGGGATAACGGTGGAGTCATCTCGCCGTCAACTAAATGATACTCCGATCAAAACTAAGTACCTAGCTGTTGTGGATACTGCGTGATATATCTGTGAGGATGCGATATCAAGCGAATCAGCTTTATAATGCTAACAATGAAAATGGTGTGCATGGAGCCGTTTTGGAAAGGTAACTACAGAGTTCTGGAAGTGTCATCTGAGTTGTTGAAATCTAGACTTTTAACGCGATGAGGACAGTCTTGTTTAATATACTGCTGAATCCTAAAAGTAGGATAATGGCATCTTGAAATAAGTTATCAATGCGTGCTGTGAAGCCATCTTGAAAACACAATTGGCTGGACGTGCGGATTTAAAAACAATCCTCCTTCTGTAGCCATACACAACAGTAATTTGCCTGAGTAAGGGCCACATAGCCAGTTTTTTTGGTAAGTTTCTTTTTTATGTCTGACCGTACTTTGAAAATGTCATCATTCTGAGATGCGGTCTCAAGATGCCTTAACCCCACTCTTATGATGTCGTCATGGCGTAATAAATTATCAGGATGTTATCCTCCTACCTAGCAAATATCGTCATCCCTTGGTAAGCAGTGGGTAAATTTGTGTTGGAAATTGGGGGATATGGGATGGGGAAAGGTGGGGGATGACATGAAAATTTGAAAGGGGGGGGGGACGTTGACACAATATGACTCTATAGAGGTCGATGTTCATGTGTACATAGGTAATATGTATTCAAAACGGCACACTGATGACTTTTTAAAATTGTTTTTCCTTTTGTGAGTGATATTGAATGCATTTTAGTTGTTGCAAAATATGAAAAAATCTTCACGACCAACTTTAAATTTTTGCTCACCACAAAAATTAGGGTAGGAGGATTCGACAGCCCATTCCCCCACCTCAAAAAAGTGTGTGTGTGGGGGTTATATACCCCACCCATGAGATTTACGCTCGTGTTAATAAGCATCTGAGGATGTGGTTATCTCTTCTGTACTATGTCTTCATCCTTAGATAAAATGAGTATCTACACAAGTCAGATGACACTTCTGGAGCTCCGTAGTAACACACTGTACAAAGGTAAAGGATGAATGTTCTAAACCCTAATTAAAGTTCATGCCAACTTGCGAAACATGTTGATTCCTAGATAAGCGACCAGAAATATGGTTCAAAGTTTAGAATGTTATCAAAACAAATATCAAATTCTTCTAACGAAAAAAAAGAAGATCCTGATATACCGAGCGGAAAGGCATTTGAAATGTTTTTCTACACTGCTCAAATACAATGAATCGGTTAATCACATGCTTCTGCCATGGTGCAGGCACACGTGTGTAGGAACGATTCAGTTGCTCTTCCTAAGTTTATGGTTTTTTACTGATCAAGCCTGGTGAAAAACTCGTCTATTTAAAAATGTCTTTTCAATTTCATGATGCATCTGAAAAAAAAAGATGCAGTATGTGTATAAATGCCCCAAACACAAGTTATTCACGAAGAGGCAGGGCCAGCTGTCTAGTTCCTGTCTACATTATTCAAAATTAGGAATACAGTAGTGAACCGGACACAATTTATCCACCCCTGTTAAAAGTAAATCTCGGTGATTGCTGTTGACCTAAAAACGCCTGTAAAACAAGGCTCCCGCTCTCATTATAACTCATAAACCCCGTAGCATACAAGCAAGTTTAATCGCGGGAGAACGAGACTAGTCGACCTTGTGCTTACCAAGGGCAAGTTAAGAACCAAATTTTCTGGGGGAGCTTCTTTTTCGGAGCCAAAACACATTATGGATTTTCAGTGGGGTGACGCTACATTGTGGTAATTCCGCACACTTTGGGGAGAGAGGAAAATGAAATAAACAAAGAAACAGCCTGTCCATCCCCCCCCCTGAAAAAAATGTTTTGGCTCCCTTGGGGCATGGTCCTCTTTGGCTTTCTTTTGGTAACCCTTTGTTGTCTTTTCTTAGAGGTGGGAAGAAAGAGAATAGAAACTGCCAAAATTGCCTTCTCTCTTTGGATCTGAACAGTGGGGATGGGAGACCAAAGACGGACACAGCCCTAATCCCTCCCTCGAATTCGCTAATTTTGCACGAGAAATCCAGTTCACACTACTGACAGAGTAAAACCCCCAATAGCATCTCGGGGTTTTTGAAATAGGTCTTCGTGAATGGGGTATTCTAATTACACTGTAAAAACCAACATCCATTCCGCGTCTTGCGTTAATTGTAAACATGTATCCGCGTAAAATTAAACACCTTTTTTGGAAATAAACGCATTTTAGTGTTCAGAAAGTTAAAGCGTTACCACCCGAAAAACGTGTTTTTGTGTCTTGTTATTAACACCCAAAGGTGTCATTGTGTCTATATTTATCAACACATCATCACATATTTGTTTACACGATAAACACCACAGTGTGTTTTGCTTTGGACTATTAACACGACAACACGTTCATAAAGTGTTACCAGGAAGGCATTTAAAAGGATTCAAAACATTAACACTTGTTTTTACAGTGTAAGCAAATTAAAAGAAAAAAATAACCCAAACAAGAAAAAGCCAACATAGAATTAATTTTCAAGTCGGGAAAATGTTCAGCCCCTCAAAAGAAATTTAGGCTAGTAGAGTGCCCTTGTGAAACTGAAGTAAACGATAATGGCTTGGATCAATATTTGCTACATGCTACTTTTACGGAGTCCACGTGAAATAATCTTTGTATGTCAATGTACATTATCCCTAGTCAAAAACAACCTTGCACTCACAAACGTGCTGCAGATAAGACTATCTCTACAAATAACATGGTCAGGTAAAAACAGCAGAAGGTGCACACTTTGGAGAACATGGGTTTTTGTAAATTTATAGTGAGGTTTTGAGGTGCTGAAAGTGGAAGGAATTTAGGAGCTGGAAAATCTTTCTTTCAAAGATATAAGAATAGAGTGAGCTTTTCCATGTTATTCCTGTGTATTTTAGTCATGATTTTTGGCATAAACTTTTGTATATTTTTATTGCCATGTGGTTGAACATGTATCTTGGACGAGAGAGTTTTTGTTCACCCTTCCTATGCCTTAACACATGGTTGGAGCAACTTTAGTTTATGACTAAGGAGTAGGATTAGTGTTGCCTGCTTTCCCAGAAGTGGCCAAGTCCTTTATTGCATCATGATTATTCGTGAGTTCAGCCTATACTTCGTACTTCAATAACCATTTCGTATTCATTGAATAAATAATTACAATAAATAACAACAAGGGATGAAGTAAACTACTCATTAAGAAAGAAAAGAAAAGCAAAAGGAAAAACGATCAAGGACAGAGCAAATAAGAAAGAAAATATAAAGGAAAGATGTGGCTAGAGATTATAATTTATGATACATTTACAACTGTCTGTGGAGCGACATAAAATTGACAGAAAGATTATTTTTTTCAGAATTGTTTGACATCAGTAATTCTTTTGGGTGCATTTTTAAAATGTTGCAGTCACCTAAAGGTATGCATTGGTTTTGAGGTGATTATATAAAATAAATTCTTATCAAACGAGGGTTTCCCTTCGGCGTTTTTTTTTTAAAGAGGCACCAGTCAGTACTGGCAAAATTAATGAGATTCGTCAGTGTGAGATGAATGAGCTTCAAATGCTGATTCTAGCATGTCGTTTCTAGCTCTTTAAGTGTAATATTTAATTTTTGAAAAACTTACAAATCTTCCATCCCATACTGCAGACGGCATGATTTCAAGTATATTAACAAAGTGGAAACAGTGAAATGTTTTGCTGGTATACTTGTTCCTTGGGGGTTGTGTATGAAAGGCATTGTTGCATGTCCTCCAATCCCCCGATACATTTCAAATATTGGAGAGGTTTATCACAAGACAAGACAAGCGAGCTGGGTGATATTAATATCTTATAATTATAAATAAATCATCTCCAAATTGCTCCAAATGTGTATACAAATGACCTGGGAAAAATCTCGTCCTGGTGATAATTCAGCATTCATTTGAACTGCTCCTGACTTTTGCACTGAACCGGTGAATCAGGGAAGCTTCCTCGAGTTGACTAAGGTTCAACTTAGGCTCGTCCCACACTTTTGCCTGTTAGATATAGCGCCTATAGCCAGTAAGGTCAGGGTTGACCCTAAAAGCTACTCGCATACACGCATGCAAAGCTTTCAATTTGACATGCAAAACTACCTTAAAGTTATGGTTTATGTCGAAGTCCGACGTAAGCCTACTTGTTGGTGAGGTTCTTCAAGTGCTCCGGTAAGTAGGTATTGTAAATATTGTTCGTAAATAAATTTTGCATGTGGGTCTATTCATTCCAAAACCCTTATCGTGGTCAACAAAACATGATAATAGGGTTTCCAGTGCTGCCCAGAAGTTCCAGAAATGCACAGAAATCAGATGGCAGGCCTTAGGATTGGAGCATGGGTCCCTTCCCTACAACGGTCAACCTTCCTCTGTGCGCCCGACGAAGGGGTATTTCTCTTTGACTTAGACTGGTAACTAGGGTAGTGTCACACCCCTAGAGTTGTCCTACCCTTAGGGACAGACCTTTGGTAGCTTAGACACGAATATATACACACCTGTTGCTGGAAATTTGTTTTGCCTGTACAATATTTACATTCATTTATGAAAGAACACAAAATAAGGCTAATCTCTTACATTAACATTTTTTGATTACAATATAAATGAGGTGATGAGCGCGTCAATGTCCCGCCGCCATGTTGCTTCTGTTTCTTGCGTTGTAGTCGGCTTCTGTGGCCTGTGGCTGACTCGGCAAGTTTCTGCGTCCCGCCGCCATGGTCCAACCCTTCTGTCACCACCGGTCAACCGACTCCCTCTTCTTCTTAACGTAAAACCCTGAAAATTACCACCATATTCCCATGTTTCTGTTTTTTTTTTGGCCAAGTTACATTCAACGCAAAATGTTCATTAATAAACTTGAAGTGTTATGAAGTGTGTCAACTCCCAAGATAATTGTTTCAGTGCTGCAACAACCTCAACTCAAATTACTTAGGTCAATTTGGATTGTATGAAATATCTCGGTAAATCTCATTTTCACTGGCTCAATATCTGGTTTTGCAAGGAATAGGCCTAAATGTATAAAATAAATATCCAGTATATCATATTTATACATAACTAACTTACAGGCACTGGGCGTTTCCTGGCTTTCCGTTTCTAAGAAGAGTACATGTAGTTTATTCTACTTCCACAATTAGAAGTCACTCATCTCAAGACTAACTCGACTCACGACTACAAGTCATCGAGGCTGGCCGCTGCCCTCTCTTCGGAATCCAGCAATGAACCGATCACACCAACCCCTATCTTTTCTTTTTAAACCCGATGGAAAAAGTGCACTGCCATGCCTTATTCCAAAGAACTCAGAATATTTTGTGTGCTACCCTTCATAAATATTCATTTTTCAAATTAATGCATAAGTGGCTACATCTACCAATAACAACTCAACTGGCACTCAGCCCATCATTCTGGTAAGGTTGACTGACTTCAGGAATATTTGAGTGTGACGGCTCAGGAAAATAAAATCTTGCGCAGGGGCCTATGATGCCATTAAACTTTTGATAGAAGGCTTTTTTCATATTTGGCTTGCCCACAATGTGTTCATCTCTCAAGTTAGTTCAATGCAGCGGTAGCTTCCTCGATGTCTTCCACCTCGGTGAAGTGACGGGTTCGAATCACACCCCCAGGCCGACACGTGGACTGAGTTTTCTATCTCCACGTGAGTGGGCCTCCTTAGAACATCCGGTCCGCGGTTTTTGTCCTTACAAAACTAAAATTTTCTTAATGTTTCTTCAGGCCTTCTCTCAACGGTGCCCTGTGTACTGTTTTGGGACGCAGATGTCTTTACCAAAAATTGAATTATAAATATGTCCAAGGGAATGAGCTTCTTGGATGGAATCAACTTCACTCTGGCTTTCGTTCCGCCCTGGACATCAAGACTCGCATGATTTAATTAAAATCAAATGCACGACCCAAAAGGTAACAGAATGGCACACACCCCAGACAGATGTACATTGACAACATTTCAGATGCTTCTATGTTTGTAGACAGAATAAAGTATTTACATCCCCCACGAAAAAGCCAGGTTGACTGCCTGCAACATTTCTCTGTTATTGTGCCAACAGATGTTTAAAGTACCTAGCCTTCAGGAGCTCGTAATCCCTTCTGACACCAAGTTTATTATTAATGTCATTTACGTAATTCTGACAACAAGGATTCCTTAAAAGCGCCCTAGGCGCTGTAGCTCGCAAACCCGAAGAAACCTGAGGAGAGGAGACAGTGAGAAGCATTTACAGTTTTAGGGTTGGGAGGAAAACCCAAGAGGAATATTCTGGGTAAAGGACACGGAATCGGGTAGGGACTGAAAACGTAATCCACATGTGGACCAAGCCGGGAATTGAATTCGGACCGCAGAGGTGGAAGGTGCATGAGGACTAGGCCAACATGACTCCCGAGTTTTCCGAGACAGGTCAGTCAAAACATTTACAGTACTGTTCCCATTGACGTGCTAAACGCACGCGGACCGACAAGTGTACAAAGCCAACTTCAAATGACCGTAACAACAAAAATCAATGCACGGTTAAACTGAAACTTCACAGACGTACTCATGTGGGACGACCAAGTTCTTTGGGGGCGTAAACTGGCCTTTGCAGGTGTTAGAGGGTCCGATAAAGCCTGGCTCTATTAGGGTGGAGCAGCGTTGTTGCTATTTGTCCGTGCTCAATTAACTTCGTTTTGTGCGCATTTACGTACGACGCGCGGCGTGTTGAACCAGACTTCGGCATGCAAACATAACGGGGGGGGGGTAGGGGGTAAACAGTTGGCATTTTGTTCGTGTGTAGTACATGGACGGACGTCGTTGGTAAATGAGACTGAAGACAAGAACAAATAACTTCTAATGGTGAATTTGTATTTTATCCTCTAAATCAATTTATTAGAACAAAGAACACGTTTTTCACTAAAGTTTGAAAGAAGTCAAATGAAGTCATCAAAGCGTGACAGTAATAAACTCCTGTTAAAGAACAATCCCCAGCCCGAATTACAAAATTGATACATACAATTAATTCATATCTGACTTTCATTTTTGAATCCTCTACCACTCGACTTCCAATCTTGCATGCATGTATCAAATGGGTCTGCTTGAATGCATAAATGTGAATTTTGCATTTATTGCATTTCTCGCTTTCATTACCTTCAGACCATCTGCCGCTCCTTTCCTTTAGATTCGAATTCTCTTATTTCTCCACTTTTTTAGCATTGCCAAAAATGAAGTAGACTTAACTCATAATGCCTTAGTTGGCTTTGAAATGAATGCCCAGATAGAACAGATACCAAATCTTGAGCCTGCGGTTTTGCCTTTTCCCTGGTGAACCTTGAGTGACTTATGAAGTTTAATTTCAAGCTAGGAAATTTGTCATATCTTTACTTTAAAGAATGTCATCAATTAAAACTGACATCTTCAATAAAGTTCATTCCGTGATGAACACAATCAGTACATCCATTTAAATGTCATAATATAACAATCATTTAAATGTAATAGCATAACAACACTTCCACGTATGCAGTGTTGTGACTTGAAACCCGTGCAGAGGGAAGGTTGGGATGGTCCTAAAATGCCCTGCCGTCCAAAGTTGAAAAGCGTTATGGTACCACATTACACTATAGAGTGCGCTGTTCATGAGGCATAAGGACTCTGCGTATATTTCTGAGCTTCACATCGGATGGTACGGGGAAGAAAGTTGCCCCTTTCGACTCTTTTGTTGTTTTACTTTTGTTTTTAATTTCTTTTGTAAGGAATTGAAAGTAGCACACTTAAGAAACAGTACTATAACCTTTCAGGGAGAGTTGAGGATTCTTTTACAAAAGGAAAAAAATGGACAAATATCTTAGTGAGAAAACAGTCGCCTGAGTACACAAGACATTGATGGGTCACCTTGAGCGTACATATGACCCATGCCCTAGCCTTTCTGTTGTTTTCCTTTTCACCACAAAAAGGGTGGGGGTGATTAAATGGCTCAGTGCCCGAGCAGTATATTTATAGAGTGGTTATGTACAGCACAAAATATTGCATACGTTCCACTAAGCTCTTTCATATTATGCCACAGAATTTTCATCTCCTGAACCTATTTCAGTGGCAAGCTATTTCACAAAAATACACATACTTCTAATTTATTGTACATCACAAATATTTATTATTACTTATAAATAATTTACTCATAAACCAACGAGATCTCAAGTATCATTTTGACTGTGAAAAACAACTGCCTGGTCGAACACGTGGCTCCCATTCTGTATTATTCCGTGTAAGAAAGACAACTGGACTTGGGAGCACCCGATGCGACTGCCCACATTGGCATGATTTCTTACATTCGAAACATCGAAGTTATAAATCATATGTGTTATATATGCCATGCTAATTAGTTAGGTTCAACATCGGTGATGCGTTCAAGTGCACTTCATTCCCTCAAATGAAACACATTTCAAGCTGCAAATTCGGTCAAAATTTGATATAATTTTTCAAAACTCTATCTAAAACTCTAAGGTACATTCATTTGTTCCCCTAACCCAATACTCCACGCAATTTATTTCAACCGATCTCTCCTTTCCTTATCCTTTGTACTAATAAAAGACCATAAGTAATGCTTCTGAAGCTGTAATACGTAATCCAGGTGTCCATTCTGATGTATTACCGGCACGCCTTGCGCAGCTACAATTTCCTGTTCAAGCGTTATTGTACTTGGGTGATTGGAATGGTTATAAAATTATTAGGAATAGCCTCCAACCTCTCCTGGTGTATGTACAAAATCAAATTGTTGCAAAGTCCCAGTATCAACTGATAAATAAAACTAAATGGTGACACGAAATCCTGGCAATGCATAGGTTTAGTGGATATTTACCGTATAGCAATACTGTTGATCACATACATGAATAATTACATTTTGCAGAACATTAAAACAGAAATTATGGAACGTGTGCTCGTTGTTATCTTTAGCAAGAATTCAGCCCAAAGTAGATTCGGTACCTTTGAAATGTATCAAAATGAGGAATGTGCACTAAATCAAACTTGGGCTCGTTTACTGTATTTGGGGCCCACCGCTCACGTGGTTTAATAAGAGATTACATATTCCGCTCCAAGTGGACCACAATGGATATTAATAATGTGCACGTCATAGCGTTTCATTTCAAGTTTTGTCTTTCTATTGCCAACCAAAAATGCGCTTGTGGGACTGATACACAAAGTATGCGTTTTTGATGAAGTCATGGTCAACCTTCCGTTTCGCATCACTGTGCTCATCCATATTACGAATCTCGAATTAGTTGTCTTTTACACTATATGAACGCGTTACAAGCACACGAGGTTACACGTAGGCGGGTCTAAGTGGCCCATCTAGGGGGCAGTTTTTCGTTTCTAAAAAATATTAGTAGGCGATTCCAGAAAAAAATGTTTCACTCCCTTTCCTTCCCAAAGCTTGTATAAAACCCCAAATATACCCTTATAGCCTTCGGGAAGGCAATACAAAGTTAAATAAGGAAATTCTCAAACCCTCCCCCTAAAGATTTGCTCCTGATCAACCCTTCAACCTAGAGCAGGGACATAACGGGGGGGGGGTGCAGGAAGTGCGTCCTCACCCCTCTCCACGCTACTGAAAGGTCTGCTCTTGAGGCAAGAAAAGATGTTGAGCTATAGTAGAACATCACAAGGTCAATCCCTCTTTGGGAGTTCACTTGCACCCCCAAGACATGGTGCGACCTCATGTATCCGTCGTGTTTCAAAATAAAAAAGCAAAAGATTTACGCTCGGTCCGTTTATTGAGGATTCACACCTCCCACGAAAAGTTACGGACCTGTAAAGAACATTTGATCTAGCCTTGAACTCAGGTCACACGTTCTTACAAAATGTGGATTTCACTGGAACGGGTTTTGAAATCTGAAATTACGATCAACAATTTCCAATGCAATATTTCTTGATTTTTTTGTACAAAGATCTAAGAAACTGTAAATTCTCCTCACTTCATTAAACTGAACATATAAAAAAAACGATTTTCACATCCACTGAAAATCGGTATTACGTGTCCTCAAAAGGTCGGTTTTTTATTATCACATCGAAATCTACTTGCTCTCTCTACAATTTATTTCCTTGAAAACAGCAGATGCAGTACAGTCAAAGAAAACAATAACAGAGACACCCAAAGAAAGCAATCAGGCTACGAGCAAAAACTTTTTCACAATATTCTATCACGCAGGTAACATTATTAATTAAAAAGGTTATTGTCAGCAGTATTCATTTCCGTGTGTGAAGTCTGGAATGAGTGGTAGTTTACACAAGCATTAATTAATAGACTATTTTACTCCACGAATACCTAGTTATAAAGTCTCCATAACCACTGAGAAGTGAATAATCACTGTAGAAATAAACACACACACTTGACCTGCTTCTCTGAAGACTGTACAAGGACAATGCACTTTGTAGTCGTGAAATATAATGTTCTTTTGACAACGTGTTATACCCTGCAGTGTCATCACATGTCGTCAAAAGTCACTATTCGAGCGGGCGACGGTGGGTACTTCTGAACAAGTGGTTCCGTGCTGCTGCTGTCGGCAGCTGGGTCGTAGAGGCGATTCGTCGGTTTGTCATTGAGGCGAGGCACGCCGCGGGACTCCTCAGGTCTGGACCTTCCGTTGTTCTTGCTGGTTACTTGTGGTAACTGGGGAACATCAAAGGATTGAAAACCTGCGTCAACATCCAATGGTGGTGAGGCTGGCGTCTTTTCGGAGATGGTTGGAAGCAGTGGTAGGCTTTGCCCTGCATGTGACTCGTGGATGTCTGGCACCTCAAGGTGCCGCGATCGAGGCTTCCGCTGGCGGTGCACGGGAGATATGCTCCCCCGGTCTCTCCGAGAGGTGTACCGAACGATGGTCTGTACCAACACCTGGGGATGGTACCCCGGCTTTTCAATGTAAATGACGAAGAGGCGGTAGACCTGCAGCAGCATGACAAGCATGTTCTTGCAGGTGAAGAAGATCATCATCTGATTGATAGCGTTGAGCTTGATCAGGATGTAGAGCCGCATGGCCAGGAAGGGCCCATCCTGCATGATGATGGTGGTCATCAGGCCCCAGACCTCGGTCTCGCAACACATCAGGGTCACCTTGGGCTTGTCGTCGTCGATGCCAGCCATGCGGGGCTTTCGGGCTTTGGTGGCCGTCAGCCCAAGGGTGAACTGCAGCAGGCTCCAGGTCCAGATGGCCAGGATCCAGAACACCATCTCGTAGTCACAGCGGACCTCCTCCATCTTCAGGCCCTCAGTGGAGAACTCCAGGATGTCTGCGGCAATGCCGATGTAGACCAGCAGAAGTTGGGAGAGCTGGTCCCGGGTCAGGGAGCCTTTGGGTAAAAGCCATCTGCCTACAATAAGAACGAACAGGAGAGTCTGCTGGAGGGCTAGGGACCACATGTGTGATGGTAAGAACAGTGGAATCTCGACCTGAAGATGGAACATAAAGACAATACCGTTGCATATTAAGTCCAGAACGGTATGCGGTCGGGGTAGAAACAGAGAGAGAACTTTTTGTTCCTACATTAGCTAAGATGATCGTTTGGAACACACCTCATGTATGCAAAGTTTCTCGAACCTTTTTGCGGGATACTCTGAGCACACACGCAACCAATTTCTGAATCAATATCCAGTCTTTGAGTGTGAACCGGAAAAACGTCCCACTAAATAAGCCCTTCCTTCTTTGCCGTCGAGAGTGCACTTCAACTTGGGGCTGACAGTTTGCTTGGCAGAGTTTCTGTATGTGCCCACCGACATTTCGTGAGTCTGTACATTCCCCTTTTCTCTTGTCCAGTCGATTTTGCAGTTAGGATGTGCAACCTTAAATTTGACTCTTTGTGATGAATTGGGCTATCAGTGTAAAAGCCTGGCTGGCGAGTCTAATTCTTTCCTCAGTAAAATGTCGAAGTGCGGCCCCACGCCCACGATCCACGCGTCTGTGCCAGGTGCCGTCCAAGCAACGACCAAAAACTTCGGCTGGAAGTTTGGGCACGGTAATTACATGGTCCTCAGAGTGAGGAATCGGTGTGCTAGCTGGTGTAAGGGGCCTTCGGAAAAAATCCGACTGGGAGGACAAGGGGCTTCCTGTTCTAAATGTCTGAGCACTGCTTTGATATGAAATGTTAAATTAACGTGCAGGGCATCGTGTCAGAAGCAAGTTTGTTTTTTCTCGTGTATGTTAGTTTTAATTAGGATGCAATATAGTCAAACGTGCGATATTCGCGTAGCCGGTAACTGGGTGACGGTATCTGAGTTGAGTCTGTGCGATCCACTGCTTATGACCCCAAAGTTTAACCAAGAGCTCCCGACCTTATCAAACCATAAGCTAAAATAATGGATAATAATTATGACTAACCTGTGGTCCAGAATTTTAATTTACGGTAATTACTAATGTTTACAGTGTATTGGTTTGGCACTGACCATGACCCCATTTTGTTGACATGAAGTTGCCCAATTAATCAGCGGGCCGAGAGTATAAACAAACCTCTTGTAAACCTTTGCAAGCTCCAGGTCGCGTTATATAGGTGGATATAAGTAAACCTGCCGGTTGTGGGCTGGCTCCACCCTTAACGTTATAAGTGCAGTTGATTTACTCACTCCGGGTAAGCCAGTCAGAGGGGTTCCGTTGACGTAGATGGACTCGGACTCCAGACAGATGTCTTGGCCAGCTGCCCGCGACTGCTCGATGCGCTCCTCCATAAGCTGCAGCTCAAGGATCCAGATGGCAGGCACGGTAGACACGAGATACACCATCACACTGGGACAGAACCTGCAGTGCAAACGGATAGAATCACACGGCACAACACACAATGTTAGAGTTTGCAGTTTCAAATGAGAACCATCGGATGAAAGACCCTGCTTCGTGTTTGTCACTCACGCGTCTAAGTTTTAAGAAACATAATTCTTTGGAAGATTATTGTTGAGGTTCTCTCGGTACTTATGAGAAACAGTCAGATACAATATTGTTTTATATTAATGAATACCAACTTCTGCTACGGGACTGTGCTTCAACTCACAGTTTACTCCAAAATTTGTGTTTCGCAATTAAACACAGCCTTGCAGTTTAAAAACATATTAGAAAGCTGAACACTTCGTGTCCAGTTCCCGAACATGAATGCCCAGTTGATATCGACCATCCATTAACACTCTAAACATATTCAGCATGTAAACATGTTTAAAAATCTTGTAAAAGCAAGGAAATGTCTCAAAATATCACTTAACAAATTGCATCCCATTCACTGCCAATGGTTACGTCAGTACTTTTGGAGTCTTAATAATAAATAGTGCACTTGAGAACTCCTTAGGTTGCCCGACCACAACGTGGAATTGAAGCACGAATCGCCTAACAGCTCTCTCGCCAAAACGCAGTTTAAAAAAGGTATCTTCATTGGACACTTTCAACAGAGAGAAGAAAACAGCGTCTCATTTTTTTAATGGACTAATGGACGTTACCTCACCCCCTAAAACTGGAAGGCTGTAACGTGGACGTAGTACACAGTTCCAATGGGCCAAAGACTGGTTTCCGCACTCAACGGTGGCGCTCGCCAAGCAAATCACGTGTACCACTATCTGGTATCCAGAATGTCCAGCTTACATGGGGGGGGGGTTTCAAGACTAACCTTGCCCTCAAGCGCAAGATGTGAGCAAATGGGAGCTTTTTGTCTTATCTAACCCTATAAGGTTATTGTGATAAGCAGAAACATAGGTTATCTATGCTATCTTGATTGCCTGACGAATAATCTTGTCAGAATAACCACTGACGTGCAATCAAGGTACAGGAACACCGTCAGCCTTGCTAGCGCCACGCGGCTTTATGTTACATATTTTCGAGTCCATTTGGCCGCAGGACTGTTTCATTTAGATCTCAGAACCCACACCAAGAAATCACCAGAAAAGCCAACGAACTGCAGGTTGCGATGATACGCTTATAAGATATAGCAAAGAAAAACAAAAAATCACGATAAACATGCCTTCAATTCAAGACAGAACAAGACAAATTCCTTTATAACCAAAGACCGATACTTTCAGAAAAAAACAGGGTTTTGTTGTTCATTTTTCTTTTTTTTAATGTTTTTAAAATTTAGAAGCAACTTCTGCCACAAGTAACTTGGAAAACATCTTAGATCACTGTAAAAACTGTTGGCAACGCTAAACTGCCCAGATGCATATTGGTCATTTTTAGTTTGTCATTTTCCAACAGATTTACCCGACAATTGGAAAGGTCGTGACCAGACCTTGGAAAGTTATATTTACATCAAAATATGGCAAAAGTTTGTCACAAAATGCCCAGTTTTACAGTATATATCAATAACAATTATGCGGGCGTGCCTTTACCCTGTATAGAAATTTTCCAGGTCACTTGCGACGAATATCATGCACATTACTAATTCCATCGTTGTGTCTACTTGATTTTCGATGCCTTCAATCTTCCAGTTGCTAAAGGTGCCACAGGCAAAACAACTACGGGTGAGATTTCGATTGGTGGCGGTGCGGAAGGACGTGACAGAGATCAAGTTGCCGAATAAGACATCTAACATTCAAGATGTCTTGAGACAACTTAGAACATCGAACATTCCTTAATTGTGCAGATCTCCCACGTTGGCCGGCCGGGAAAACGCTGCAGAAGCCCCGGTGCCATAAAAGGCAAACACGATATGAATCGACCCTAATCATGTTATAATGAGAATTTCAAAGTGACTTGAATTGAAACTGTCATTGTACGCCGCAGGCCGGCAGCAGATTAAAGGCGTTATTTTCCCTTTTTTAGCTTCCATATTTGTCTCAGAGAATCAATTTGCGCTGGCGAAGCCCGAGGACTGCCGACGAATTGTATATGAAAACGCAAGCATCAGTAAATTGATTATATTGACCTCCAATGCATCATTTGAAAACTCTCTATTCGCTTTTATTTTTGTCTTGTGGTGTGGTCGGCCCATAGAGGCCAAAGGACCCTTTGGAGTGGTCAGAGGGACATTTGCTGTTATTGCGTGGTATTTCTTTTTATGCAATGCCTGCATAAATTCCCGTGATCGTGTATCGTTAATCACATGTCTTATATTATTCGTTCTTATCGGTAACCATTGAATAGAACTTTATTTCATTTGACCGGTTTGCGCCCCCATTCAAAGAGGACAATAATGCAGAGACGGAAACCAGTCTAGCATTGCACGGTGTTACGTAGTGAGTAGTGCTTCAGATACGAAACTTTTCGCAAAATGAGAGACGTTAATACGTCAGCAGAAGATGATTTATGCAATAATAATATTATTGTTATTATTGAATAATTTCATGAGGTGACAGATGAAATGTTCGATTCTACCAGGCGAAATAATGTTATAGAATTCAAGTTGCACAAGGTTTTCATTAGTGCAATGCTGGAAACCTTTCGTGCCAATCACACAGTGTTATAAAATGTCTCGGAAATACTTATTTCTGCACTGATTTCCCATGTAGTGTTCTAACACAGCGTATGGCTTGAGTAAAACAACTGAGGGCCTTGTGGCAAAGCTTGCTTTGACATACCTGCATGTTTACGTAAATTTGTAAGAAAATTACCAGCGGATGAGGCAGATTATGCCTGACACTGTTGAGGCACATGTTACAGACATTGTCGTACCAACATCTTACATCTCATGTTTCCTTTCGTCTGTGCGTGTGGATCGGGCGGTTCAACATTAATTTGTTTGAAAAAGAAACACATATGTGACTGGCATGTCGGAGTCCGGCCCGGGAACGCCGGCGCCGCCCGTATATCACGTGGGGATAACTCAAATACTTGCAGGATGAGCAATTAATTAGGCGGTGTGTTAACGGTACCGGTATAACTCTAACGCGACCTGCAAAATGCAATATGAAAACAAATGACATTGAATGTTCATAGGTCGGGCAAAACGCAACTCATCTCTTCCAAATAATAAGGCCTACTGTAATGAGATCAAACCCGATTTCTGACGTTAAAAAACGTTACCATTTTCTTTTTATGAAACAAGCGAAGGGTTGGTACAATCGGCTAACCAGATGGTATACGGCTGTTTCTCCTGCAAGGGTGTTAATTCCCATTACTGAGTCGCCAAGCGATACTGTAGTATATAAGAACAACACATTTTCTAAGTAGTATTTTCACAACTATGAACAAGTTTATGTTGTTTTATGATGTTGAGAAGTGGTCTTTAGGAGGAAGTGACTACTTTCATCTGTAAGTTTTATAAATTTAGTATTTCCAAAGATTGACCACCCCTTAAGTCGGGGAGATGTTAATTTGCAATTGTGGGTTTTGCCCTTGACATAAATATTCAAAACACTGTACGTTCAGTTTTCCCAAGGGTTATTTAAAACTTAGTTCATTGCTCATTAACAAATGAAACTTCTCGATTTCAAAGTTGTTTCTGCATGAAGCTGACTGCACAGGACGTAAGGAAACAAATATGTCAAGAATTATCAACCTATATGGGGCCTAGTTTTTCATTTATGCACCAAAATATTTTGTTTATTCCACGAAGCACCGAAGAAATTCAACGTCTTCAAATTACTTGCGATCAAGATCTCAGATTGGTAAGATATTGGTCAAAACATAAAGCCATTGAACCACGCAACTGCACACCAACCCTCTTGTGCACAGTTCCACACACCTTTTTGTGTTCATTATATGCGTGAAGGTCTGAACATGTCACTGTTGAGGTCGGGTGCACTTCTCTACTGACATCCGAGCGCCTTAAGGTACTAGTTTACCCCATATAGATTATAATATATTTTTAATTGATCTTGAGGCAAACACTTGGTGCAGAAGGATTGTTTATTACTTCGCATCTTGCCCCTCAATTCAACTCTACAAATGAGCAAGCTATCAAGGGAGTGGTAAGTGGTCCAAGTTCGGATTCGACTATGAAAGTCCAGCGTACTCAGCACAGTGCATCCGGGGGGAAATACGTCCCGAAAGCAAGAAGAATGACAGTACTCTCTGCGTGGAATAGATTAATATCCCCATGGGGATATGCTTTTATACACCGTTTTAACACAAAAATTACAGCGGACAAACGGACATTTAATAGGGTTGGGGAAGTGTCAAAAATATGGATGGTCTTGACGGCATTTCCAGGACATAGACTGAACTAAGCATGACCGTGCAGCTAAAACAGAATCAAGGGACCGATCTCCCTTGGTTAGGCCGGCTAATTTTACTCATTTTCTCACGCACTTTTCTTTTCCGCACTCGAGGCCAATACCTGCAAGTATTCAAGTTCATTTCGTTAAAAAAGGTCTCTTTACAACATACGCCACAGGCACTGGCATTTCTTCACTGAGTCTTAGTGGTCTACCAGGACCGCAAAGGTCAGGTCAGCTGTGAGGGGTCTTTCATTTCTGTGTCTGCGCATTAGTGACGCATCCAGGTACCGAGTCCAGAAGACGCAAAACAGGATATCTTTTCTCTACCAACGATTTTTTTAATCCGAAAAATAAAATTCCCCGAAAGGAGCCAGTACCTTTTTTAAGTGGTGTCTCTTTCAATCCCCAAAAAAGGGGAAAACTGGCAAATCGTCTCCAAGAGGCAACTTGCCACACTCCCACCCCCCACCACACGCCACTGCTGACGATGTCATAAAGACATGTCACGTTACCTCCAAGAGAAACAGACCGCGTGTACTTGACTGCATCGCAAATCCAATGTTGGTGCCCATACCCATTTTACATAATTTCCTGCACAGGATTTGACCATCGTCGAAGTGTAGGTTTGTGCGAATCAATATTTGCGCCGTTTGCCCTATATATAAT